TCTTGTGAAGTGCCCTCGTACTGTCCCCCTCCTGTGAAGCCCTCGTCTTGTGAAGTGCCCCTCAACCTTTCAGCGACTGGCTTTTTATTGAGAGAAACTGGCCTAACACTTGGAAGCGCCACCCCTTTCACTTTTAGGAAACTCCCTTAATTCTTCAATCTCAACATCTCTGGGGTTGCGGTAAAGCACCTCCCCATCAGCAAAATCTTCCCTATCATGTTGCCTCTTCCTATGCTTAGTAATAAGAGGTCTGGCACACTTTTTCTTTCCCACTGAGTGATCAACATCATCAGTAATATCAAATGCAATCTCCTCATCCTCACTATCACCTGAGGAGAGCGCATCCTCACGATCCCAGTTATGGGATGTGACAATGGCACGCACCCTGGCTTTGCTAACAGGTCTACGGCCTTTCTTTTTCCTTAAGGCATTAATTGATTTGGTCATGAGGGCTGCACACCGCTCTTCCAATTCATCGGCCCAACTAGCAGTTGAACGTACACACTCCGAGATAACTGCTAGGTGGTCTTTTAATGCCTTAACCTCTGCCTCTGCTTTCGTCTACGGCCTTTCTTTTTCCTTAAGGCATTAATTGATTTGGTCATGAGGGCTGCACACCGCTCTTCCAATTCATCGGCCCAACTAGCAGTTGAACGTACACACTCCGAGATAACTGCTAGGTGGTCTTTTAATGCCTTAACCTCTGCCTCTGCTTTCTCCCTTCTTTCTGTTTCAGTAGAGAGAGCATTAAGGAAGTACCAGCCAAGTAAGGACACTGCCTTCTTCTCTGCTTTGCTCAAACAGAATTTATCAAAGGTAAAATTTGCTAAATCATCTGAAATTCTACCACTCCATGACCTACTAAAAGCAGATGAGTACTTAGCTAATTCCTTAGCAAAAGGCATCCACTGACTATCTCTGGCCCAAGCAGGCAGGTTGCACGCCCCCTCCTGGACACCAAAAACGTCTACAGTCTTGCTTTTCCTAAACAATTTACGCAGCATTTTCCCTAGCACAAGCAGAAAACACTACAGAAAACACTACAGAAAACACAACTAGGTTTAGTACAAATCCTGGCTAACACGCCCCAACTTGGATCTAGTACAAAACCTAAAGACAAGTCTGTTTCAGTTGAGTCCTCTGCAATCCCGGACGAGCCCCCAAATGTAATGCTCTGGACTACAAATCCCAGAGACATAAAGCTTATCTCAAGGATGAGCCCAGCTGTAAAGCTTGGCAAAACTTGAATTTCTATTTGTTGTCTGTTCTTGCAGTAAGGCTGGGTTCACACCTAGACGTATCGAATATGCGCGTTTGTCGCGCATTTCATGACGCGCGTTTTTACCACGATTCGTACTTCTCCTGTACTTCTTTGGGCGTAGGACGTTTTGTAGCGCGTTCATACGGCCTGTAATACGCCCAGGTGTGAACCATACCCATAGGAAATAATGGGATTTCGGTGTTTGAGCGTTTTGCAGAGCGTTCGAAAGCGCTACAAAACGCCCAGGTGTGAACCGGGCCTTAAGCTTTAAGGAAACTGACCCAGTAGCATTTAAAAGTACTTTACTTGGCGAAAATGCTGCGTGTACAAACTTAGTTACAGGAAAAGCAAACAAATACATAAACAAGACAGGCTGCTACAAACAAACTATCACATGCACCCACTACACTATCTTCTAGTACATGTGTGATTTCTAGGAGGGGAAACACTGAAAATGTACTTAGCTCAGGCTGCAGGCTCCACAAATTCCGTGATGAGCAGGACTTCTTGGCCTAGGAAAATGGAACTACACTATCCTTTCTAGTACATGTAATGCTTTCTAGGAGGGGAAACACTGAAAATGTACTTAGCTCAGGCTGCAGGCTCCACAAATTCCGTGATGAGCAGGACTTCTTGGCCTAGGAAAATGGCGCTCGTACTGTCCCCCTCCTGTGAAGCCCTCGTCTTGTGAAGTGCCCCTCAACCTTTCAGTACTGGCTTTTTATTGAGAGAAAATATTTGGAAGCGCCGCCCCTTTCACTTTTAGGAAAATGAAATACCATGCATTTAACTTTCCCACCTCTAGGTGGCAGCGTTGTACCATAAATTCCCATCAGTAGTCCAGATTTGATTTAACCTAGGTGCGACTGTTTACGCAAAACTGACCCATATCACCATCCCATTGTGATACGAATAACGGGGAAACAATACAGGACAAGCCACACCATTGTGAAAATCTCCGTCTCTATTGCAAATATGTGTGTGTCTGAAAAAGTCCACTAAGATATATCGCAACAGAGAAGGTTCTCATTTATCCAGGTCATGGTATATCTGTAAAAAATAAGTCAAGGCAACTGGACTTGCTGTATTTTTCTTGAAGAGGACGTTTCACTAGTCATGCGACCAGCTTGCTCAATTCAGAATGACTTGTACAGAGAGAATTTTTGTACAAGTCATTCTGAATTGAGCAAGATGGTTGGATGACCAGTGAAACGTCTTCAAGAAAAATACAGCAAGTCCAGTTGCCTTGACTTATTTTTTACAGATAATAAGCTTTGGGTGCGCATACAAATCTAGGGCACATTACAACTGCTTGAGTAATCCTATGCAAGAGGGTGCTAATTCTCAGCATTGTGCAGATTGTGAAGTCATGCAGCTTCTTAATTGTGTTAAGGATTTCCTTTCGAAGACCTTCTCTCAAGGCATTTTAACATAAACAGTGTAGTTCACGTTTTTGTGGACAGAAAGTAAGAAAGTCGGTGCAAATGTTTGTCATATTGTAGACAAAAGTGTGACCTTTTAACTGCTGTAAATAGCATGGTGGATAAAAATGACTTCTCTGCAGACATCTATTAAAGTGGTAGCATGTTTTTTTCCCCCCAAACACTGGACGAGTGAAAGCATGAATTTCAGAGCAGGCTGGTGAAAGAATTTGCATGCTTCAAGGACTTGCTAGAGAGAATTTCTAGACATGTTCATGCTTGGATTGTGATGTGATCTCTGTTTGCTTATGTTGCTGTAACCATAAAATGGCTTCTGAGATTGTTTTAATGAATGCAAAATCACTGCTGCCACCTAGTGCTAAATCTGTACAATGTATAATATATTCCAGTTCTAGTAGAAGATGAATGAATAGGCTTATTGAAAATCGCGTTAGGGGGGCGTTAATTGAGCTAAGGGCAGTAACCCATAATAACCTAATGGAATTTTTTCAGATACACTCATACAAGATGAAATCCAATTGCTTCATATGCATACTGCACCACATTGAATAAGCCCAAACATTTGAAAAAAATCTTGATTGATTTGCATTTTGTGACAGCTCTTGGGTCATGAGTGAACACATGGTCAGGCCGAGGCGTGCCTGAAGAGGCGGCCATCAGCAAGATGGAGGTTGCAAAAAGGACAGGACCTGCAACCTATGCTGCTCTGCTGAAGTAGAGTAGCACACAGCATATTTGGGAAGCGGGGGGGAGTTTAAGAGGATGCTATTTGGCCTTTTTGCCTTGGTGCTAAAGAGCCTTGTCCCACCACTGAGTGTAAACCTCTATGGTTTTAAAAATTTAATTTGGTAAATGTTCCACATTACCTTTTACTTACCAGCTACCTTGCACACATCAGAAAATTCTAGTTAATGACATGTCTTTATCTTTCAGCCTAATAAAGGTGGGTGCAAGAAGGAAACTGCTGGAAATAACATGGTGGATGAAAGTGATTTCTTCCCTGCAGACATCTATACAAATTAATACCCTGTGTCAATGAACTTTGATGGGCATATGCAGCATGCTTTTGATATCAGTTATGAAACTTCTGAGATCATTCATTGCATGTGCAGTTGTCATACTTTTGACCTGGTACAGCTGCTTTTGCATTCCCATAGAGAGGGAGAGAAGCCGTTCTGAAGTGAACAAAGGCCCCAGGACACTGGCCATTAGGGCTTGTTCACACCAATTGCGGTGCGTTCCAGAGCTGTAGCTGCTGGAACACACTGCAATCGCTCACAAAACTTCCCACTTCGTTCTGGGGCGGGAGGGGGCGTGGTGGTGCATTGAAGTCAATGGCACTGCAGCCACTCCCCTGCCCGCAGTGCGATCGGACAGGTGGCAAAACATGCGTTCCGTTCCACTTCATAAAATCGATAAATAGTCACTCGCACTCCAATTTCATACGAAGTCAATTCCTTTATTGACTATAGTAGTGTCACAATCATAGCAACGTTTTGGAACCAAGTGGTTCCTTCTTCAGGCAAACATAAAGCAAGCAGCATATTTTGCGTTTGTAGAAAACAGGCAATGTTTTGACACGCATCCAATCGCACTGCGGACGGGTGGGGCGTGGCTGTGGTGCCATTGACTTCAATGCACCGCCATGCCCCCTCCCGCCCCAGAACGCAGGGGGAAGTTTTGTGAGCGATTGCGGTGCGTTCCAGCAGCTGCCGCTCTGGAATGTACCACAGTTGGTGTGAACAAGCCTTTAAATGGCATTTATCGTTATCGTTAGAGGACATCATGTAAAAAAAAAAAAAAAAATTTAGCATCCCATACCAAATTATGCTGCATGGAACGAAAAACAATGGTGGGAATTCATCAAATTGGAGCAGACATAATCTGGAGAAGTTGCCTATAGAAACCGATCAGTTTCTCTGTTTCATTTCCAAAGCTTAACTAAACAAACTGAACAAAGAAGCTGTCATAGGCGTCTGCTCCAGTTTTGACCTCCAGTTATTCATATTACACTAGGAATATCCCATAACATTATTTTGTTTGGAATGGAAACTTCATATTCCAAATAGGCACATAGTTCTTTCAAAAAAGTCTGAGTGTATTTGCTGAGCTGTATTTTAAAGTTTCACAAACAATTGCTGCACCACATGCTGGAAATTCTGATCATATCTAATATTCTAATTTGTATCTTTTGGTTTTTAGGTGCTAATGCCCCAATACATTCACTTCCAACTTCTGTCACTACATCCAAAAACCATCTGAGAGGCCCATCCCTCCTTCCTACATCTACACTGGAACCAAACCTGCCAGAAGCCCATCAAGACCCATCCCCTACAGTAAGTGAGCTCTGTACACCTACCTGTCTTAAACTGCATCTGTATTGCAGGCTTAGTGTCATTTCCCATTACAGCTTCTACTTCCTGTGTTTTGTTTGTTTGTTTGTTTGTTTGTTTGTTTTTTTAGTTTAACAAAGTCTTCTAACTAGATTTCCTGATAAAACATTGCTAGAGGATGTGTTTCCAGTATAAAGAACATAACGTTTTATGTATTATTAATCACTATGATAAATGTTGCAATCCTTACTGTAGATACAATTCATGCAGGATTTAAATCCATCGGTGTTTAATAACAAGAATTGTAGAAAATGTATTTTACTATAATTACTGTCTGTTTAGTAGTGATGGCTGAAAACTGTCCACCTGTGTTCACCTGTGCTCACTGAGGAAGAAGATGTTTTGATATTAAAGCCCAACTCCAAGGAAATGAAAAGTTTTCTCTTGCAGTGGGGCTTAACTGCTCTTTTATGTCTAGGAGATAGGGAAACTTTGTTTTATTTACCTGATTCCCTCTCCCCCCCCCCCCTTAGTTTTTTTTTTCCCTATCCCCCCCCCCCCCCCCCCCTTATCCCACAGTCATCTACCTTAGAAATAATTCTCTTGATCTTCAGTAGTAAGGTCTCCCCAACAGAATTCAGGTTTTGTCATCCTCAAACATTTTAAATAAACCTTTCCTAGGAGCAATATAGGGGCTGCCGTTGATAACTCCTGAAAATGTTGCCTGGCTGTTATACATGGTTTCTGATTTCAGTCATTTCAGAGCTTGTTCACACTACAAACAGTGCGTTCTGGGCCGATTTGGTGCCAGAATGCACTGGATCGCATCCTGGCCATCTCCCTGCGTTAGGGGCAGGAGTGGGCATGACAGTGCAATTAAGTCAATGGCACCGCAGCCACGTCCACGGCCTCAGTGCGATCACCCGAATGCATGCACTATTTTTTTCTGACCACATTAATGTGCCACGCGTTCAGATGCAGGCGATCGCACTGCGGCAGGGGGGCGTGGCTGTGGTGCCATTGGCTCCAGTGCACCGCCACACCCCCTACCGCCCCTGAACACAAGGAGCCGGCTGGGATGCGATTCAATGCTTTCCGGCACCAAATCGGGCCGGAACGCACTGTTTGTGGTGTGAACTAGCCCTTAAGGGTAATTTGGAAAAATGGAAATTACTCCCACCAATCTGTTACCTCCAAACACCCTCCTCCGCCCACCCCCTCTGCTACTCTTACCTGTGAAAAAATGCTCCTTCACAGCTGCCAGTGTACGACCCATACACTGCAGAGCAGCCCTGCACTAGACATTTCAAATTACACTCACAAATGGAGAGCACTCATTGGTCAGTGGGGTCACCTGACCAATGACATGAAACTGACCAATCTGAAGCGCTTCTTGCTAATAAGCACTTCCCATTGGTCAGCATGGTTAGAAGTGCTTCTCTTTGGTCAGCATGATCAGAGGGGGGTAGATTGATGGGGGTAGATTGATGGGGGTAATTGCATTTTGTTAAAATTTGACTGGGAAAGTGGAATTACACTTTAAGTCACTGATCCAGAACAAGTCTGCAGATCAGGAAAATCCAAAGGTTTTTATCTACATACTTATTCTAGGATAGCAACTATGGCATTTGCACAGGAGATTTCAGCAATTACAACCTTCACATTTTTTCTGCGGAAATATTTCCTCTAATTCTGCTCCTGCTACATTTTCCATAATATAAAATATGTGAACATTGTGACATGGAGTGTGGGATCGCCTTGTAATAGTAGCAAGTGGATGAAGTTAAATGTGGAAATCTTATTACTAGGTTCATTGACAGAAATAAAAAGCCAGCAAATGATTCAAATCTGAAGTATTTTTCCAAAGTAGAAATGTGTGTTTTTTGGTATAATGATCCTCCTTTGTTTTTGTAATGGTAGAAAAAGAAAAAGACAGATGGAAAAAAGCAGCGGGAGTATGTGCCTCAGAAAAGGTCAGGGGGCTACGCTGTGCTTCTGACCCTCTACAAGGACAGCAAGGTAAGCAAGAATAAATGAAGACCATTTTCCAACTAAAGGTACATATACCTTTCTGTTTATATAGCTGGGTAGACAGATGCCTTTTTACCATTCACATGCCCATGTGTTTGTGTGTCAGATCCTTGTCAATTTAAAATACACTAGAAAATGAAACCTTACCTAAAATATGATGTATTGCTATACCTTGCACAAAATTGTTATTGCCTTGCACCTTGCCTTGCACATTCCCAAAAGAATATATTGGTCCTTTAAAATGGAAACTGAGGTTCCCCATTTCCCGCAACTTGGGGGTGTTATTAGGTCTGGAAGCTGTAATTCTAAATTGTATCTGCTATATATTTTATATTACAGTGTAGTCATTTTACCATACAAATACATTGGTTTTGTTTGAACAATTTCATTTATAGAGTGTCTCTAGCCTTTTTTTCTATGCAACACTATTCTTTTGGTATGGAAAAAACCTTTATTCCCCCCATCTGAACAGTTGGAAAAGGGTGATAGATCAGGTTCTACCTCACTGTAAGATTACAAATGAACATATGGATAGGTCTCCATTATTTGAGCGTGTCTGGGGTCTTTGGCTTGCTTCTACCTCCACAATCCCAATACTGATTTAAATGTAATGCCTACTTCATGGTCAGTCCCGAGGAATGTATACATGTATCTATTTTTCTTCCATCATTGACTTTCAGCAGTGTACTATGTTTTGTTATTAGGCAAACATTGTTCTCTTGTTTGAACTGTGATGGTTTATTGTAGTAGGTTGTTTTTGATGCTGCATGCTTGTTGAATGTAAAATAAGCAAAATCAATAAAAACTATCTTTAAAAAAAAGTGTGCCTCTAGCCAAATAGATATTAGCTGATGGAGGGAGCAAATAGAACCTCTGTCAGGTTTCTGCCCTACTGGGGAGATTTAATCCTCTCATTGTCATAGGGGACAGTAATGGGCAAATCACATTTTTAAAGTTAGTCACTGAAACCAGAAATGAGGTGTCCATATTGGTCACAACTAAGACAGTAGATATTGTCTCTGGAATAGGAAGTGAAGGGAAATCAAGAAACAGATAGCAAAAAAAAAGAAAAGGACAGGCATTCTTAGCTTTTCACGCTGTATTTAAAACTAAAATGTGCATTCATTTGTTTTTCACATTTAAATTCAGACAAGCAGAATTGGCAGTGCTAGCTGGGACAAAATATGACACTAAGCAGTTACAACATCCTTTAAAAAAAAAAAAAAAAAGAGAAGTGAATAACTGTTGAATGATGTAAGCAATTAAATAAAACTGTAGATCATCTATTCACATTAGAGCAATATATACCCTTCATCTCTAAGGGCAAAGTATTATCTACCAATGTCAGGTTCTATTTCAACATTCATTAATATTTACCTTACTAGCTTTTTCTTCAGGGAATTAATTGTGTCATTGTGCCATTCTTGATCACCAGGACCCTATTCACATGCTGTTAAACTTGTTACTTACCCACAAAGTGCATAAACAACTCTGCTGAAAAGAGTAACAGTTAATGGACTAATATCGAAGATCAACATTAGCCTATAGCATATCTAAGTTAAAAATAAAACATGCAACATATTGTAGCGTACCAATCCGTAGATGTGGTAGATGCATTAGGTTTTTTTCTCACTTTTTTTACCTGGTGATCTTTTTGAATAACATACTTTTGGTCACTGGGTGGCTATGCTCACTCAGCGGCTGCTAATTACAATAGCCAGCCAGTGGGTATATCTCTAGACACTCTGTTTAGCATGGATGGGGAATCCAATGATTTTTCTCGTTCAGCCCCAGTGTATGGCCAGCTTATGTCATAGAGTTACTGTCAAGGTAACTGATCAGCTAAACTTGGTCTGGATGTCTAAACTTCAAAAAACTGATTATGAAAGGGATATGAAACCTTTTTTTGTTTTTATTCATTTTGTTTGTGGATTTTGTCTCATCGTGTTGGGTTGCATAAAAGATCATTTTTGTAAGACAATATTGTCAAAAGAAAGCCTTGTCCAACACAAAATAAAAACTATATACTGTGTGGATTTTTTTAGCATCCTAAATAATAACAACATTCATTGTCAAATTAGAAGGTCCATAGCGGAAAAGCAAAAATTGCTTTGGTCCTTTAGAGGTGTACATAGGCATGAAGTGGTTAATATTATTGATACCTGAAATTATACGGAACTTATTGATCAATATACTGTACTTTGAGTAAAAATTCCCAAAAGTAAAGGAAATGTATTTAAATGTCTTGTCACAGAATCCTAATTCCAAAGGTTATATGACAAAGGCGGAACTGCAAAGAGAAGCCCAATCACTGTGTGACAAATCATTTACTCTGGTGAGATTACCTTCATTTTCTTTTACTCAGCATGACTCGATACATCCTGCCACTCCCTGACACAAATCATTATTAAATGACTCCTAACTGGCTCATATTCCTGTATATGGTTTAAACACTAAATATGAAACTGCAAAAGCCAGCCATTCAGGTCAGATTGCAATCAGACATGCAAACACAACCCAAACCACCAGAAGGGGTTTTTTTTTTTTTAATGTCTTTACATAAACATTTGTATTGCCTGATTATGAATGTTTATGACCATATAAGGAAAAGAGGAGAGCAGGAGAACATCCTTAAAGTGCATTTACTCTTTTGCAACCAAATTGGGATAACGCCTATTTATTTGTTACATGTTCCCATTAACCACTTGAAGACCAGGTGTTTAGACCCCCTTCCTGGCCAGGCCATTTTTCAGTATTCAGCGCTGCAGTACTTTGACTGACGTTTATTCCGTCATGCAACGCTGTACTGAAATTAATTTTATACCATTTTTTGGGGACAGATAGAGCTTTCTTTTGGTGGTATTTAATCACCACTGGGGTTTTTATTTCTTACTATATTAAGGAAAAATTATTGACATTTTTAGTTTTTTTCATTGTTGGGAAGCAATGATTATTACCCATATTTTTGGTAAAATATAAAAGACGGGGTCACGTCAGCTAAATAGACACCAAACATGTCATGCTTTAAAATTGCGAAATCGCAAAAAACTACCATACCCAGAATTGACCATAGGCGACGCTTTAAAAGCTTTTACAGCTCATCAGCTTAGTGTTATCAGTGATTACTTAAAAAAAATGTTTTCCTATTTTTTTTCCCACTTAACTTTATTGCTACCACATAGGGGGGTTAGAAAACCCCCTAATGTGATAGCAAAATATGTGACAGGTCCTCTTTATGGAGACATCAGGGGTCTCCAAGACCCCTAATGTCATCTAGGACCCCCCTGAAGAAGCTGATGAAGCAGAGATCTGCTTCATCAGCTTCTCTCCAGCATCTGAAGCTGGAGAGTGACACGAGAATGCGGAAGTGATGTAATATACATCAGTTCCGCATTCTGACAGCGGAGAGGGGACCTAAAGGGAGATCGTGTACTGAGCTCCCTCTGATCCCCTATGACAGAGGCCGTATGCTGGTCCCGGGCTCGCACCGGGCATATCGGAGCCCGGGACCAGCTTGACAGCTGGAGGGGGGAGCCGGGGAGGGCGCACATCACGGGACCTCATACAAGCGATCCTCCGGCTCTATAGCCGGCGGATCGCTTGTATATTAACGGGCATCGCTGCCTGTTTTCAAATAACGGGCATTTCGCGCACCCAGCGGCGCGCGCGAGGGGGCGTGGCTGAGCGGACGTTTAAAGACGCCCGCTCAGATCTAGAGAGCTCCTGGCCGGCCGTTTTTTTACAACGGCCGGCCGGGAAGTGGTTAAAGTAGCGTAAGCTAAAAAAAAATTTAAAATGCTTCTTGCAGTTTAAATTGCTTTTACTTGGGTTTGGGTTTCTTGGCTTCTTAAGGGTTAATATGTCTACTTGCTACTCCTCCTTTGTAATGTTAGGAGGGCATGTAAGGGCCAGCGGTTTGTGCTGTATATTGATGAAGTTAATGAGAGAAACACAATCCACAAATTTCAGTCCTAAGTCTGACTATACAAGGACAGATCATTGTGAGAGACCCATTAACACATTAACACATGGTGCCACGCATCGCACCTGCCCTGCATTAACAGTGCCGGAGGTGCGTAGCACCTCCCACCTGCATGCAATCAACCACGTGGCAACGCATGGTATTGGAATACCATGCATTGTGCTGTGGTTGAAAACAAAATCATGCATGCACAATTTTTTTTCAACTGCACCACATGGTATGTGGTGCAGCCAATCACATTGCAGGTGGTAGGTGTGTTTCGTGTGCCGTTCAAATGAATGGCAATGTAGCGAATGGTATTATGCTTTGTGAATGTGAACATGTAACAAATATATAGTAGGTGTTCTGCCAATTTGTCTGAAAAAGTAGAAATACTATTTAAGCCAAAACAAAAGATCTCTTCCTTTTTTTTGGTCCAGTGTTTATTTCCAGTGGTGGTAAATTGCCTAAATCACCTACATACTTTTTGTATGCTGTCTATGTACTGAGCAGTCCCCTTAATTTCATCCATGTTAGAAAACTACTTTTATTAACGTTTGATAAAAATGGTGTTCTTTATGTCTTCTGCAGATTGACCCCAACAATAAATACACTGCCTGGTCTTCTGTTAGTACGTTAATCCAGAAGGAGTTGGTCATCAAAACGCACAGCCCAGCCAGGTAACATAGTAAGGCTTTTCACCAGAATTCACTAGCTGGCATTGAAAATAAAATTGCTGTGTATATACTCTGTGAGGAGTTTAGTCTGGGCCGAACTGGGACCCCTTATTTAAATACTCGGCAGAAGGAAAACGTTTTACAAAAACATTCCACAACTCTCTTTTTGCATAGTACTTAAACTGCACAGACCTGAGGTAATGTTTATAGAGTCTGCTGTGTGTGTATGGTGTGTATGCATTTCCTCTGACGTCAGACTCTCCTACCTGGACAAGTAAACCTCATGTGTTCTATGAATTAGTTCTCATCAGGTCTGGAATTATTTTTTAAGTGGCTGACTGCTATTGATCAATATATTAGAAGTTCAGAGAATACACTTTCAGTTGTATGTTTGTTACTGTTTTATTTGAGCATGGACACTTATTTACAGGCAAGAAATAATTGCGTTATAAGCAATGTGTCCCTGCTGACAAACATAAATAATCAACATGAGTCCACTGAACTTCCAACTTCTGCAGTTAGAAGAAGTAGCAGCATAGAACAGATCCCGCTGCAGCATGCACCTATATGCTTGGGTAATGTATGTCCCAGTTAGGTGCCTGTACTATCATAAAATGTATGGGGGAGAGAAAATGGCTCATGGCAGGCATATGACACATGGGTCCACAATCGGGCAAAGTTTGTGGGGGTGGGGATCGAAAAGAAATATAAACCAACCATTAAGAAAGAGAAATTAAACTGTGTTGACTGATGAGATCTGAGGAACTGATTGCTGAACGGTTGGACAGGTCCGAGACCTTTCTGTCCAGATGGAGGCCCTGGATGCAATTCATGGAATCGGATGAGTTTAGGACTCTGACTTCGATTCATGATCTGATTTCACTGACCATGTCGTAACCCTCTACCTCCCCTTCTGCCTTCTTTTCTCACTTTATTTCTGTTGTCTTATTGTCTTGTCTTGCTGTGAGTCTATTTTATGTCGTTTATGTCTGGTGGCTTTAGGCGATGCATTTAAAGGAGAACTATGAGGCGAGTGCTTTTCACTCACCTCATAGTTCTAGCCGACCTGTGACAATGAGACGGTCACAGGTCGGCTCAGTAGATCGGGAGGTGAGCGAACACATACCGGGTTCGCTCACCTCTCGATCCTGTCACGGCTCTCTGCCGTGACAGGGGGAGGGGCTGGATTCCCCTCTCCCCGCTCCGATCTGCCAGCGCTGACTGGCGGAACGGACGGGGGAGGGGGTGGGTACAGCTGTCTCTGCCTCTAGAGCCAGCTGTCACTCACGCAGCTTTGCGGATCCCGTCGTCTAAGTCGGGATCCGCTCCGGCGTCTCAGTATACCGTGAGCTGTAGCTCGCGGTATACTGAGCTTAGGGTAACAGGAGGACGCTAGTTTGTGTCCTCCCGTTACCCTAAGGAGAACTATGGGGAAAAACACTGACCCCATAGTTCTCCTTTTTAATTTAACCGGTTATTGGTATCATGATCCCATGCTTCTATTTCGATGTTGAAGGCCCATGGCCTTGCCCAACTCTGTTATGAGTCAGGCAAGGCAGCTAGGCGGGGGTAAGACATGATCTCGGGCCTATTAACATATATACTACAAATAGTACGGACAGCGCTCTCGGATTGGACCTGGAGAGGTGGATTTTGTGGCCCTAGATAGCATGCAGCCCTGAGAACAAGGAGGAGTACCTGTAAATGTGAAAAACAAAAGAGAGAAACACGAGGGCGCAAAACTAGGTCAACTAACTACTTGGACCTAACATATCAGGGAAGGGGACAGGAACAATCAATATATATGTATAATATAGTATACAGTGGATGAGGATAAAGAGCCTTTATCCTCATCCACGACAGTCACTGACCCGACCTTTCGCCACCCTGCTGACTTCCCTGCCGGCTCCCTTCCATTGCCGTTATTACGGCTCAGGCACACTGCTAAACACCGGTCCACTCCTAGACTGAGCTGCACCATCCACAGCAGCACAGCCAGACTCCTTTCTTGTACGCTGCTCTTATCCCTCATTGTTGTGTCAGGAAGACGGACCATATCCTCGTTCCGTCACCTGCCTCCTGTCCACCTTCCTCCTCTCCCCTTCTCTCTCCCCCTTGGGACGAGCAGCCCCAGGCAACACATCAGCGGCCATTCAACATACATTCTGGACATCCTGATCCTCCTCACGGGCCGGTTCACATCTGGTTCCCCGACCCACATAAGTAAGTACATTATACATATATATTGACTGTTCCTGTCCCCTTCACTGATATGTTCGGTCCAGGTAGTTAGCTGACCTAGTTTTGCGCCCTCGTGTTTCTCTCTTTTGTTTTTAACATATATACTGATGGCGTTCGATTATTGTGCTATAATCTCCAATATTGGTCACTTGTGGCTGCCTTTGTATGTCTTTACATTATATGGTTTGTGAAAATCTTTAATAAAAACTATTTCTAAAAAAAAAAGAAAGAGAAATTAGTTAATCAAGAGGACCACTAAGAAACTGGATTAATCCAGTTTAAATATGACACCTTCTTGTAAGAAAAGCACATGCAAATAATAAAAGTAAACACTTGAGTTCAATACATTTTTTTTATTAAAGGTTTTCCAAACAGACAAACGGGGTAACAACAATATCAGATTGTATATAAAAGGAATAACGTTTTCATGCAACAGTTCAGAAGCAAGTCTGTAGGACATATAGAGAACAGGAAACTCAAACCAATAGTTCAAATTAAAGCATAACAATAGTAGTGGTAAAAATTTCCAGGTTAAGCTCACAATGGGGTAACAAAAAGGAGGTAAGACAACAACACCCTCACCTCTACTCCTCTCGGGCAAGCTGAAACCTTAATAATCAAAGACACTTGATTATTTTGTTATCACCATGACACCTCCCAGCTAGGTGCCTGTCTCTGGGTTCACTGTGTTGATTCATTGCCCTGGAATTAGAATGCAGCAAATAAAGCCAGTGGATACAACATGGATCTGCTTAGTTACTTAGTAGTCTAGTCTGGTTAATCTAGTGAAACCCCTAGGTTAGAGAGATTGCCAGAGAATTAGCATTTTCAAAAGGATAGCTTAGAAAGTCTGCAGATTACCTACCTGTATTGTCATTTTGGGTTGTTGGTTTTGGGACTACATGTTCATTAACAATCAACTGGCAGGAGACTTACTGGTGGTTATGGTACTTGGAGAATGTAATAATAGGCAGATGGCTCAATATCAACAGAATAGCTGGGAAATCTGCCCTTGAATGGCTATGTGTGTGGAGGGGGTCATCTTGGTAGAAGTACAGGCTTTGATTACTCAGAGCTTGCCCCCTTCATAACAGGGGAATTGATGACTGTTGGCATGATGAGAGAAGTAACAGCAGGAGAGGTGGAAGAAGTGCAGATCAATGTAATGACTAAAGCAGAAGTGGGAAAATGCTTGCAATGCAGGTCCCCAGGTACAACCTTCTCTCCAACAATGTGTAGTACAGTAGTGACATCCCCAGGCCCGAACTGGCACTTGCCCGGTGGGTTGACCCTGTCCATTAGCTTCCCGCACACAGCCCACCACAACCATACCACCTGCGTGCAGGGGGGAAGGCTGCCAGTTCACCGTCATCCGCCCCCCGGTGCCCGCGCGTCGGTCCCGCCAATCTGAACCCTCTACATACTGCTTGTCGGGCAGTCTAATCCCCTGCTGTGCCTGCATGTGGATTCAACACATGCAGGCCAGCCTGTCACCTCAACGTGTGCTGCACTATCCCAGCGGCTACGGTGAGGCCCCACTTCCCACGCTACTCTCGTTTGCTGGAAACAAAATACATGCTCTAAGCTTTGGCTGAGCCAGAATGGTGGGGAGCTTGTTGCCAGGGCAACCTGATACTAAGCATCAGGTTGCTCAGTCTCAGGATCGCACGGAGTTAAATACCTGAGCCAGGGCTCTTTTTCTAGTCCCTTTGCCCTGTTAGTCTGCCTGCCTGGTGATCCTCTGCTGTGGCCAGGTCACACAGGACCCCCAGACCCTCCCTGCTCAGAATTCTGCATGTCTCCTGAAGAGGCTCCACAGACCACCTCCTGGCTTGCCATCCCATGCGGACCCCCCTCCTGCTGCTGAGTGACAGGATGCCCTAAGCATGAGTTGTAACCCTATCCTTGCTGTACCTTTTATTGGCATTTACCCTTTGTCGTGCCCGGATTACTGCCCTGTGACCCTGGCCTCTATTCTTCCTGTACCTTATTGCCGTTTACCCTTTGCTGTGCCCTGACTGCTGCCCTGTGATTTTAGACTCTATCCTTGCTGTGCCTTATTGCAGTTTACCTTTTGTTGCACCCAGATTGCTGCCCATGACCCTGGACTCTATCCTTGCTGTACCTTGTTGCTGTTTACACTTTTGCTGTGTCTGGATTACTGCTCTGTGACACTGGACTCTACCCTTGCTGTATCCTATTGCGGTGTGCCCCTTAATAAAGAATCCCCCGGCCAAGGGTCTTAGAAACAACACTCTACCTCTGTGTGTGGGTTTTTTCCGCCCTACACCTCCGTAACAGGGCCAAGCGCAATTAGGGCCCGGATCTACTCCTGATGCCGGAATTGTCAGAAGCGGGGCAAAGAGCAGCGTCAAGGACGAGCGGTGTGCTGGAAACTGCTGGGTGACCGAAGGGCCGGATCACAGAGAAGCGGGATGCTGACGATTGTCACGGTCTATCTAAAGGACACTGTTATAATAATAATCTCCTGGGTGCTGTTGTGGGAACAATCTGCAGTGCACTGTTGTGGTAATCTGCTGGGTGCAGTTGTAGTAAAAATCTGCCGGATGCAATTGTAGTAAAATTCTGCTGGGATCTGTGTTAGTAATATTCTGCAGGGCACCGTTGCGGTAATAATCTGTGGGGCACTGTTGCGGTAATACTCTGCCGGGCACTGTTGCGGTAATACTCTGCTGGGCACTGTTGCGGTAATACTCTGCTGGGCACTGTTGCGGTAATACTCTGCTGGGCACTGTTGCGGTAATACTCTGCTGGACACTGTTGTAGTAATCCTGAAGTGATCCAGCGCCGCCTTCATATCATCATCGGCTGGGCTGGGCCGGGCCATTCTAAAATAGTAATGGGCCTCTGTACTTACCAGTGTCTGGCTCCGCCCCTTAATTGCGCTTCTGTGTTTGGCTCTGCCCACAGATTGCAACAGTGCGGGGCCTGCCAGGGGTCATGTGATTGGGCTGATCAATCTAAAATGCCCAGGCCTACTTTTTGTCCCAGTCCAGCCCTGGACATCCCCAAATTTTTCAGTTCAGCTCATAGGAGATGGCAAGGACACTGCATTTCTGGCAAAATCAAAACATTTTTGTACCTGCTGAAAATATTCTTAGTATGTAATATGAAAACTAATGCAGCCACCACATCTAAGGACTGATAAGTTGCAATATATTACATGTTTGTTTGGGGTTTAGATATTCTTTAAGTATATAGTCATAATAATCCTTTGGTTGGGTGCATATTATGTAATTTCATACTGAGAATTTCCTCCTCTTTACAGATATTGCCTGACTGAAAAAGGACTTGAACTGGCACAGAGATTGAAGGGAGCTGATCAACTACTTGAAGGAAAGAGTAATGTGGTCAGGCATTTTGATGCTCATTCTTCTGATGAAGAACCTGATGATGCTAATAATGTGGGAAGCCAAGAAAATCCAGCCATCAGGTACGTAAACAAATCTGTTTCTGCAGCGTTCATATGTACTTTGATGTACTTCCATTAGAGGATTCAAAGGTAAATCTACCACAAACTGGTGTGTCATTGCAGAAATATTGCAGTAATTGCCGAGAAAATGTCAACCCTTCGGAACTGTAGTATATTTTTGTCTCCGTAGTTTTCACAGCCATTCCCACAATCAACCTGACTACAGCCATTACTGTCCTGTTGGGCTATAGGCCTTCCCCCATGAAAATTTCCATTGACTGCCATTTCTAATTTGGGGGTTTAGCCTACCTTTAAAGAGAAGTAAAGCCAAACCTTTTTTGAGCTATAGTTCTCTTTTGGGTCACAGGAGTACATTTACTAAAGTTAGCTAGGCACAGCCACGTCGTAGTCGTGAAGATGGGCTTACCTGATGGGCAGAGTCTAAGTACCAGCTGGTGTTCACCAGAGCTACTGATGGTGGAGATGGGCTTGGCTGCTTGCTGGTACCAGGTCGCGGTCCCCAGGGTTGCCCTGCCAAGGGATGGACGAGAACAGGAGGGCTCCAATAAGGAGACAGTAGTCAGATCCAGGCAGAGTTCAAGGCAGGCGGCAAGCAGAGGGTGGTCAGGCAGTCCAAGGTTGGTAACGAGTAATCAGAGGATAAACGCAGAAGACAAAAGCAAAGTCGGGTCCAGGCAGAAGATCAGGGCGGGCAGCAAGCGAAGAAGGGTCAGACGGTCCGGGTCAGCAATGAGAAAACAGCAGAAGTATAAAGCTCTTTAACAAACAGGAAGCTGGCAAAAAGACACAGCACCAGCTTCTTGCAGAGCTAGTGCTTAAATACCCCTCTGAATCGGAGGCGAGAAGCAGGGTACACTGGAAGTCCTGGTCTGGGATCTGTTACTATTAGCCATACTGGCCTGGGCCCTGTGAGATTCATCAGTAGCGGATCTTCTGGAAATCCTGGCTGGGGCTCTTAGAGGAGAACGGTAAACCCTGGCAGGTACTCTGCTTTTACCATAACACAGGTGCTTCTCGGCACACAGATGAAACACAGAGCCAGCCGCATCCAACTACTCCGTAGCCTGTAGCTGCAGCCAGACCTGAGAAGCAGAAAGGGGAAGCAATAACTGACAATCTACACATTCCTCTGGGAGCAGAGACCAAGAGTTGACGGATCAGTGGTCACATGATTGGTCACCTCTGGATCTTTACTCTCCCTATACTTCTCTTTTAATGTAAAGACAGTAATGGCTTATGGGATCCTAAACTGTGAGATTTCATTGAACTTCTAATAATCAGCTAACATATTCTATACAACAATGAATTATTGATTTTGAGTGAACGTTTATATTTAGCGTTTTTTTCCCTTTTTAACACCTACATTTTATTGTAATTGTGTGTTTTGTTTAAAAAATATTGCTTTAAACATAATGTCTTGCTCTTATTGTTAGACTGTGCTGTACTACTTTAATTTACTTTTGTAACTTGTTGCATTTATTGGATTGTTTTGTAAACTGGCTTTGATGATTTAACTCCTTGTTGAAGTAAACTTTTGTTCACTTTAACTACCCCAAACTGAAGATACCCATGCATAGTAGGCACTCGCCTGCAGGTATTTTTAGATACCTCATAGAGCTCCCTAACAGTCATTAAAGCAAATGGCTAAAGACACAATTAAAATCCATGTATGGGAGCTGTTTTATTTGACAAAGATTTGTTTTTCTGTCCCTCCAGTCTTAAGTTTTACACTGCCTTCCAAGACAGCAGAGCCAAAATGGTGAGCTGACTGCAGTTAAGCATTACAGGTTGGTCACCTCCCTGCCCTAGCCGGTGATTGGACAGTGAAGAAGCAGTAGCAGCCTGATGAGCTAATTCCTCTCACTGCTCCTGTTAACATATGTACAAGCAGCATACCTGATTGGTCCCTAATGCTGCCCCTAAAGTTCCCAGTCTTATAGCTTAACTGTACAGGGGATTGTAAGAGGCTAAAACCAAGTCCTTTTCATGTGTTTCATTTTGTTGCACCTAAAAATGATTTTTATGAATACATAGATGCATAGGTGTTTTTCTAATATCAGTCTGGGGTTATATAATATGCAATTAGCAACTGTAGTTCTTGACATTTAGCTTAGCCCCACTCTTCCTGCCTTCTGTGGCTTATTAGTGATCCACACTTCTGATAGGCAGTCTCGCTGACCAATATTAAGGGTATGGATGGAGCCACGCGTAATTGCTAGAACAAAAGTTGCTGGGTTTTTTTAGGACTTCAAAGCTCTGCAAAGTACCCGACCATGCCTGCAGGCACTTGGAGGTACTGACTATGTATAGCTGCCTGCAGTTTATGGGGTGCTAAAGTAAACAGGTGTAACTTTCTATACTACCAACTGTACTATTTTTGTTATTGCTGAGGGTTTCTTATATTTTCTAGGCTTCCCCAGTACACAACGCTTAGTCTGCCTGTAGAAGCAAAACAGCTAAGTTTAGATCCTGTACTAAACTCCTATCACCATGTGCCTGACTTCACGCTGCTTCCAGGACACTTCAATGTAATTCTCTGTGTTGACTTCATTGAGACCACAGGGTAAGACAACAAAAGACAGGAAGTCTTATTTGGAGGTTGCAACTGAATGTCATCACCTTTGCTATGCTGTACATAAGGCAAGTTGGTTCCATGGGGGCGAATAGTTGGCTCTGGGAATAGACTACAGCAGAGTTTTTGTTCACAGAGTTTGCATTGAGGAGGCTGAGTACTTCACATTTGGCAGCAATCTCTGCAACAATTAACAGAGGAATTTGTTGCTTTTAATTTGCCTAGAACCAGGATTTTTAGAGCAGCTCACTAAAAATGATATGATAACTCCACTTATCTGTTCCTAGACATAATGAATCGCTGGGACATTTTTACACAGTAAAATTTTTAACCTCTTATCTTTTCTTTAGCGGCCACTTTTCAGCTTTCACATACAGTATGCTTCTAGGTCCTCAAGATTATTCCAATGTTCCCTGCACAGATGCACATTGAATCCTAGATCTGATGCTCAAAGATAATGTATACATCTTGCTTTTAAAATAGAATGATCTCTTGTAGCACAAAAGCAACAACTTGCTTTGCATGTAACTCAGATCCTAACAGTTCCTTTTGGTACGCCAGCTGTTTGTTTCTGCTTTTGCTCCTTACATTCGGATGCTTCACCCCATTTGCACATACATATAATTAGGGATGCACCGATACCGTTTTTTCGGTATCGAGTACGAGTACCGATACTTATATTTCGGTACTCGTCGATACCAAGTACCGATACCGGCACTTCTGGTAGCATAGAGCCGTCTTCCCTGGCAATCAGGAAGCCAGGAAGGCTTCTTGATTGCCCGGGAAGCCGACTCCATTCTGTTTGGCCGGCTTGATGCTGATTGGCCGGGAAGCCGGCTTCCCAGCCAATCTGCATCTAGGCCGGCCAAACAGATCTGACAATATGGTGACACGACCCGGCACCTAATTCCCCTCACATAGATCGTATCGCATTAATTAACGTACCAGTCCCTCGGCCAGCGCTCTCCAAGTGGGCAGACACAGCTTTCCAAGATCTCCCCACGTCTCCTGTGTACAGCGTCCACGTGATCGGCGCTCAGCCTGCTACTGAGCATGCGCAGACTGCCCAGCGCTCTCATTCATAAATCCTGTGCATGCACAGTAGCGGGCTGAATGCTGATCACGTGAGCGTTGTGCAGTGTGCACACAGGAGACGGCAGATCTGGCCGAGGAACCGAATGCTAAGGATCTATGTGAGGGGAATTAGGTACCTGAAGGGTGGGGGTCGTGTCGCTATATTATCAGATTTGTTTGCCCGGCTCGACACTGATTGGCTGGGAAGCCGGCTTCCCGGCCAATCAGCATCATGCCAGCCAAACATCATGGAGCCAGGTTTCCAGCTCCATCTTTCCTGGTGGTACTGCCAGTCAGAGGAAATCTTCCTCTGATCGGAAGTTCTAGTATCTGGAAAGTTATCGGAACATTTGGGCGAGTACGAGTACTCGCCCAAATACTCGGTATCAGCACCGATATCGATACTAGTATTGGTATCGGTGCATCCCTAAATATAATCAATATATATAAAATGTAATCATTACCAGATTTTGACAAGCACATTTTAAAAAGTACAGTAAGTTACTGCGTGATCCCTTTCCTATTTTGCCAGGGGTTCTGCACACAAAAAGCAGGAATTGGTTTCAGAACTGAAGAGGAATGGTGTGGATTTTGATGTACGTAAGCTGCACATTGGAGACTTTCTGTGGATAGCACAAGAGAAAGTCCATCCTGTACCAGGTCAGTGAATTCATGCTAAAAGGATTTTAAAATGTAACTCCATCTAATGTTTTCTTTTAGAGTGGGGACAATTAGAACCTTCACGTTTCTATTGCCTGTGACCGTGTTAAAGAGATGTCCCCTCTCTTCTCCTGGTGACAAGTTGTCACCCAGACAGGAAGTGAGAAGAATCTCCACCCGGCTCACAGGTAGCAGTATAAAGTTGACAGAGATTCTAGTCTTACTCCGTTGTCTGTATATCCGCTAGAGATTAACCCTCACTTAATGTTCTATTCACAACGCTGTCAACGAACTGGGCACTGAGAGGAAATCTCCCCAGCGGTTCAAGAGACAGCATTAAATACCTGACACAAGGTCTAACCTTTCCTCACCCAAAACTTAAAAAAAGTTTAGGCTGGTGTTACACTTTAAGCTTCACCTGCTTCCTTTGTTGAACTCCATATCGCATGAATCCTGGATGTCATCTCTGATAGTATTGCAGATTTTATTTTCTTCCAAGCATTCAATTACTTGCTAGGGCCTGACCACATCATCGCATTAGAAAACGCAGATGCAAGTTCCTCATAGTTCATAATGTGCTTTTAGTGTGTTACATTAAAATGTAGTGCAACACAAGATGTCTTTTGAGTGCGTTTTACATTCATTTCTTACTGCAGACACATGGGAAATATGGACATGCGGCTTGAAAAAATGCATCAATTAAAATGCAGATTGCATTTCAGTCCATTTTCCATGTGTTGCTGTTAACTATAATGTAACATGCGTTTTTCTTAAAATGCACAAATATGCAGCAAGCAGGATTTTTTAAAAATGCAATACACTGCCCTAACAACGCACACTGATGTGTAGAGCTTCAAAGATTCTAATAACCAGTTTTCATGATTAACAATTTTCATGGTTTTATGTCCACAGTGATCCAGTGTTGTAGTGCACATAAAATGTGGATGGTTTGAAAGGGCCCTTATAATGAGGTTAGGTGGCTCTCTGTTTAGACATTGATCCATGCCAACCCACAGTCCTGGTAGAGAGAATAACATAAACCAGCCATTACATTTAACCACACTTTAGTTTCTGGAAGGGATAGTAAGAACTCATCAACTGCCATACTAGTGGCTGATGACATCTTAATATTTAAAGGAGAACTATGAGGTGAGTGCTTTTCACTCACCTCATAGTTCTAGCCGACCTGTGACAATGAGACTGTCACAGGTCGGCTCAGTAGATCGGGAGGTGAGCGAACACATGCCAGTGTTCGCTCACTTCTCGATCCTGTCACGGCTCTCTGCCGTGACAGGGGAGGGGATGGATTCCCCCCTCCCCAATCCGCCAGCGCTGACTGGCGGAACGGACGGGGGAGGGGGCGGGTACAGCTGGCTCTGCCTCTAGATAGGCAGAGCCAGCTGTCACTCACGCAGCTGGGCAGATCTCGCCATCGATGTCGGGATCCGCTCCGGCTGCGGCGTCTCAGTATACCGTGAGCTGTAGCTCGCAGTATACTGAGCTTAGCGTCCTCCCGTTACCTAGCGTCCTCCCGTTACCCTAAGGAGAACTATGGGGAAAAGCCCTGACCCCATAGCTCTCCTTTAAGAATTACTTTAACTTAATATAAATAAAGACTGCTGCCATGCATAATGTTTTATGCTTGACATGTTTTGCAGGACAATTGCGAATTCCACAGCCTCGGGAACTTGTACTAGATTACATTATCGAAAGGAAGAGAATGGATGATCTTTGTGGAAGTATTATAGATGGCCGTTTTCGAGAGCAAAAAGTGAGTAATGGTTTATAGTCATGGGTTTCTGAATGTGTCAGTGTACCTGTACTTGTGATCTCACCTCAGAGACCGCAGTGGTATATCCAGAAATGTTTTCTTGAGCCTTTTGTGGATTTACCGTAATTTACCTTTTATCTGCGAGAGCTTTCATACACACACTGTACTATCGGAAAAAGCAGTATGTTTGTGTCATGTTATAGTTGTAGTCAATGTTGAACCTGATAAACATAATAGAAAACATCTACTTAGTTGCTGACATCTTGTTCAGAAGACCAATTTTTCCCTACCTGATGCAATGTGTGAGTATTTGTGAACACATTTCTTGAAAGCATATTCTAATATATCAAATGTTATTTGCCAACTATAATTGCATTTACTTTAGTTAAAAATAAATGCAGTGTACCCTTTTTTGAATGTTTTGTTAGGCGGTCATGTGACTAGACGGCCTCCCTACTCTTCCCACTTTCCCATAGAAGAGGTTATGTCTGCATAATAATACAGACAAGGGTATACAGGTCACACACAGCATCTCCCTAGTAGGTAACAGGCTAGAGTTACCATTACCAACATGCAAGTGCAAACACAGATGGCTAATATTAATTTTTTAGGTAACATACACTTACACTACATACACAAGCAGTGCTTCAAATGGGAACAACCTTTGCTTTAGTTAAAATGTTTATTTGGGGGCACAGCTATTCTCCAAGGGTATATGCCCTGCCTATAAAAGGTTGGGCACTATGAAGAGCTGCTTCTTCCCTTGTGAGCTATACTCGTATCCTCAGCTCCAGCCCCCTAAGTCCTTGCTTAATGTTCTTAATGTTCACTGAACCCCATGGGAGCTACATACCCTAAACCATTATGTCAAGCCTGCATAGATGGTCTTTTTAAGCAAGAATCTGCTAACGCCTGTAGCAGTTTCCTGTCATCAGTTAAGAATGAGCTTACCTTTACCTTTCAATCATTCAGATCACTATTGGAAAACATGAGCCCTCCAGTACACACTCCTTTTGTGCCTATTGCCTCCAGTTGTTTACCAGTATCCAAAGAGGTTACTTCTGTTAACTTCTGAGCCAGATGAGTGATGTGAGGCTGGACCCTCTCATTTGGATTCCTCCCAGGAGGAGCAGAGCCAGGACGAGTCTTCCTTGGGATCTAAATACAAATTATCCCTAAATTATGTAGATTACCTCCTGCGGGCAAAGACTTACTTTCTAGACATGATCTCATGTATTAGGGCTTAGAAAAGGAGAAAACCTGTGTATTTCCTGTTCATAAAACTTTGACTGAGGCTGTATTAAAACAGTGAGCAGAGCCTGAAAAGAAGCCTTTTTTTTCTGGCACTCTTAAAAGAAGGTTTCATTTTTGATGATGACCCTTCAGCCGTTTGGAATAAACTCCCTAAATTGGATGCATTTCCAAAGGTTAAAAAAAATCTGACAATGCTTTTGAAGACATGGGAACTCTTAAAGAAGTCATGGATAGGAAGAGGGAGGTACTCCTCAAAAGAGCCTGGGACTCAACCTTGTATAATCTCAAGCCTGCTTTGGCAACCACTTGTGTGGCTGCAAACATTGAGTTTTGGTTGTCACAATTAAAAGATCATCTTATGGCAGGTACTCCCAGAGAACAGATGTTAGAGTCCCTTCTGTGATTTCCAGGATTGGTCAGACCCTGCACAGCCTCATGAGACCCTGCACAGCCCTGGTCAGACCTTGCACAGTCCTGCTTAGCAACACAGAGTATGTAGCTTAATATTATTCTGCATTGCTGTATAATGGATTACTGGGATTTGTGATCCTCTATATCTGATGGTACTCTGCATTGCTGTATAATGCGTTACTGGGATTTGTAGTTCTCTATAGCTGGTGGTATTCTGCATTGTTGTATAATGTATTGCTGGGATTTGTAGTCCCTCTGCAGCTTGGAGTCAGTGGCAGAACTACCAGGGTTGCTGCGGTTGCAGCTGACTGGGGCCTGGCGCTCCACCACTGTCCTAAAATCATTAGTCTGTATTGCTTTAGGAAAACTGGCACATGACACTATAAAAAAGGTGAGTACTCAAGGAAAAGTATCGTTGCATCCCTTGTGTAATAGTCCCTAAACATCCCTAATAAATGTATACAGTGCTTTGCGTGGGTATTTACCCAGACTTTGCCATATTTTGTGTAATGTAGGACCTTTGTCCATGCACAACTCCGCATTTAGGCTCTCTATACCTACTAGCAGCTTTTATTTATTTATTTTTTTAAATTCTTTTATTGTCTGAACAAGTACAATATCCACATAATGCAAGCATAAGTACAAAAAGACATGGCACACAATTACATTCTTCGTAGACTTGGAACGTTCCATAAGCTGTGACTTTCACTAGGAGTCCGTATGGCTGTAATATTAGTACCAATATCTGGCCACGTTACCCTAAATGACCGGTGTCTTTGATGCAAACAATAAAGTTGGATAGTAAAGTATGCCGTGTGGCCATATCAGATACTTATAGGAGAGGTGGGTACATAGGAACAGTAGAGTTGCTGAACCAATCATTTACTTCCTAGTCATCGTTATAAGAAATTAGCATGAGAAAGATAGAAAGGACATAAAGGGGTGGAGTCATAGAAGTGCATTACTTCCTCCAGGAAGCAAGATTTATAGATTTTAGCAAAGGAGATAGGGGAGAGAGAGAGGTACCTGGACCAACAACTACTGGGGGGTAGGGGTGGCTGGAGAAGTAGATGCATGAGCGTCCCCAGATAAGAGATCCGCGTAGCGTTCAGAATGTTGGAAATCCATGGTGGATAGGAACTGCTTCCCCCGTGTTTCTGAGTGGTCGTTAGGTCTTCCATGGCATATATTTCTCGCACCTTAGACAACCAAAGAGCAATTGATGGGGGACGAGGTTGCTTCCACATCAGAGGGATAGATGCTCTAGCAGCATCCAACAGGTGGCAATCAACCTGCGATATTCCATACATTATGTCTGTACCCTCAGCTAGATAGCCATTGACATATGGACGGACCACTACATGGCAACCTGCAGCCATGACCTTGTTTTAACCCTGTGGCCTTTCCGCCTTAAGTAGTTATCACTTGTAAGTAAGTGTATGGACTCCATACCTCCTGTAATGTTGCTGGCTTTCTAACTCAGGAATGGCAAGTATTCTTTGGGGTACATCTTTATGAGGGACTGTGTTACACTGTACCCTCAAATAAACAAACTCTGCCTATCTGCTGTGTGTTATTCTTAGGTAGTTGATGGATTCTTCATTAAGCGTACCAAAGATGTACGGGAGTCTGCAGCCTACTTGACTATAATGACCCGCTATCTACAGAACATGTATTTGGTAAGATGTGGTCTATTTAGGATTTTAATTCATAGAGGAACTGAATCTCTTAGGCCAATGCAAGTTAAGAGGTTTGTGTGTGTGTGTGTGTGTGTGTATATGTGTAATTTAATGTGCGTGTATGTGTGTGTGTATAT